ATTCCAACTCACAGCAAGCCTATGTACAACAGCCCTAAACCCTGCTCTGTCCTGTGCCAATCGCACTGTCTCCAACACACCCACCCGATTACCTCAGTCATTGAACCAATCCACCTCATAGAGGGTCTTCCTGTCCTGCGTCGTCCCTCCACCCTCCCAAGCATGATGTCCGTTTCCAAGGACTGCTGATATTCATGAACAAATTTTTGTTCTTATGTATTGATGGATCCTTGCTGAAAATAAAGAATACCTGAAGAATATCTATATGTGTTTTATTTACTATGCAAAGGCATTTAACTGTGTGGATCATAACAAATTATGGCTAACATTGAGAAGAATGGGAATCCCAGAACACTTAATTATACTCATATGAAACCTAGACCTAGACCAGGAAGAAACTGACCAATTGTAACAGGGGAATACTATGTGGTTTAAAATCAGCAAGGATGTGTGTCAGAGTTGTATCATTTCTCCATACCTATTCAATCTGTATGCTGAGCAAGTAATTTGAGAATCTGGACTATATGAAGAAGAACGGAGCATCACTTCCACAGGAAGACACTGGCTTTATGCAAATGATACAACCTTGCTTGCCGAAAGTGAGGAGGACATGTAATATTTGCTGCAGAAGGTGAGAGACTACAGTCTTCAATATGGATTGACTCAACACAAAGAAGACAAAAATCCTTACCACTGAGCTAATAAGCAACATCATGATAGATGGAGAAAAGACTGAAATTATCAACGATCATCTTGCTTGAATCCAGACTTGACACATTTCAGTGGGAAAATCCATTGTCAAGAACCTCTCCAATCTACTGAGAAGCAATGATGTCAGTCTGAAGACTGAAGGGCACCTGATTTGGGCCATCGTCTTTTGGAACACTTGCTATGTAACTGAGACCTGGACAATGAACAAAGATGATGGAAGAACTGATGCCTTTTGTGATGTTGGAGAAGAGTCTTCATGAATATTCTACCGACTGTCAAAAGAGCAAGCAGACATATTTGGGAAAAATTGCAATCAAAGTACTTCTTAGAGGCAAGAATGGTGAAACTTCATCTCATATTCTTTGGGCATGTTGTTAGGAGAGGCTATTGGTTGGAAAGAGACATCATGTTTGGAAAGGTGGTGGGTTAGTGAAAGAGAGGAAGGCTTTCAACCAGAGGAATTGATACAGGCACTACTGTAATGTACTCCAATATGTCAGAAATGATGAGGATGGCACAGGATAAGAAAGAATTCAGATCTGTTGTTCACAGTGTCATGATGGGTCATATTTGACCCCAAAGCACCTAACAACAGCAATAACAATACTGTTAACATTTTGACAGGAAATATTACTATAGCATGTTGTTGCTGTTCCTTGCTGCTGAGACTATTAACCCGCTATGATTGAGATGGGTCTGATTACACTGAAACTTTGTTGAATTTCTGACTGCTAGTCTTTCTCCCTGGAAGCAACTGATAAATTTAACAACTGGCTTCAACTAGCAGTCCTATTATGTCCCTAGAGAAGGACATCATACTTGGAAGGGTGGAGGGACAGGACAGGACAGGAAGGCCTCGGATGAGATGGATTGACACAGTAACTGGGATGATGGGGGTAGGTGTGTACAAGATAGTGAGACTGGCTCAGAACAGGGCAGAGTTCAGAGCTATTGGACATAGAGTGACTGTGAGTTGCTGGCGACATGATGGCACATAACAACAAGAAGAGGAAATAAATTGTTTGCATGTAAATCTCTGTCTCAAGGTCAGGAGAAAAAGCTCAGGTGACAGACAGGGATTAGAAAGAAGGATTAATGGAAATGGTAAACACAGGGAGGAAATGGGAAAGAGTCCTATTACGTTTTTGGGAAACAACGTCACTAATCGTAACACGTATGAATTGCTGGATGGAAAAATCCATTTGCTTTATAAACTTTTACCCAAATGACAACTAAGAGTAAATACACACACACGCACACACACACACAAAGAGGACAATTTTAGAAGCCCAATGGGGCAGTTCTACGCTTTCCTAAAGGATCACTGTTGCTGTTTGTTGTTGTTGTTGTACTGTAGAGTCTGAAGCAACCCACCACTGACCCTCCAGTGGGTTTTAAGAGACAGTTACTCACACCACAGGAGATTGCTCATCCCTCTCCTGCAGAGTGGCTGGTGGATTTGAACTGTGTACCTTCAAGGTTGTCCTGCAACTTCTTGCTACTAGGCTACCAAAGCTCCCTAGAGCATTGAGATATGAGAGGAAATTAGGACCAAGTGGTTGGTAGTTTCCTGAACTGAATATTTATTTTGCACATCTGCATTTTCTTACATCGTGATAAGCATTCCTGCCTTTTGGAGTAAATGCCCAGCTTATGATCCAATAAAATAGCTGATCCCTACTCCCAACCTTGAAGGTTGTGTTTATAATAAGATCCTGCTCTCTTTGTTTCACTTGATTGGTTCAGAATTTGTTTTCTTTTCTGTACTGATGGAAACTATGTCTTTGTGACTAGAATTGTAGCATACAACATAGAAACTGTAGGCAAAAACAAAGACAAGTTTAAAACAAGAAATAGAATTCTTAATATTCTTCCTTTTATCATATTATTCCTGATCCTTTTAAGTGTAGTTTAGTTTTAAAAAGTAACTTATTATTATTTTACCTGGAAAGGCAATCATGTAGATGTTATTGAGTCATAACTGACCCACAAATGACCTTCCAAAGGGTTTTTAATCGAGGCAGTTAATCACACAGGAGGAGATGGCCCATCTTTCTCCTACAGAGCAACTGGTAGATTTGAACCATGTGCCTTTGAGATTGCAGTGCAGCTTCTTGCCACTAGGTCACTAGAGCTTTTAATAATTGGAACATGGAATGCACATAATTTGAATGTTGAAAAATGTTCAAGTTTTATTTCGTAAAAAATAAAATAAATTCTATGAACAGTGACGTACTAGACATTAGTGAGATGACATAGATCAGATTTGGCCTCTAAACTGGTGATGAAAAACAGAAAAAGAAGGGAGTTGTATTCATAGGCAAAAGGTCAATTTCAAGTTCTATCCTGAAATACTGTATGAGTGATAGGATCTTAACCATACTTATACAAGAAAGATCCCTTAATACAATTATTATTCAAATACACAATCTGGAGTCAAAGAGGAAGAAATTGAGAATTTTTACCAAATGCTGCAGTCCAAATTGATCAAACATGCAGTCAAGATGTGTTAATGGTGATTGGTGACCGGAATGCAAAAATTGAAAACAGTTAGGAAAAAAAGTTAAGTTGGGAAAAGCTTGGTGGTGATAGAAATGAGGCTGGAAAGATAATTATCAAATTTTGCATTTTCAATGATTTATTCATTGCAAATATCTTTTTTTAAATGACAACTTTATACTTTGATCTCACCTGATGGGCTGCATAGGAATCAGATGGACTACATTTGTGGAAGAAATCATTGGAAAAGTCTAATAGTGACAGTCAAAACTATGCCAGGGGTGGACTGTGAGTCAGATCGTCAGTTACTCATATGCATGTTCAAATTGAAGCCAAAGAAAATGAAAATAAGTCCACATGAACCAAGATATGACCTTGAGTCTATTCCATCTGAATTTCAAGATCATCTTAGGAATAGGTTTGAAGTATTAAACAACAATGACCAAAGACTTGATGAGTTGTGAGATGATATCAAGG